CGGGCAGTGCGTCTCTGAGGAGCATCAAGGCATCTTCCACTCCGTCAACCTCATCGACACCGTGTACCAGGAGGAGAAGGTAAACGCGGCGCTCCCTACTCCCCGTCTCCCCCCGCCAGGGGTCCGCTGAGAGCTCGGGCTGTCCCACAGGGGATTCCATCGGGCCCGGGTTGCTTTTAGTCAGGAACGCAGGGAAAAACGCAGCGTGGTGGGCAGGCGAGAGGCAGGCAGGGGGTGTGCTGCTTTGAGCCAGGAGGCGGGATTTGTTTGCGGGCTTACTGGGATGCGCTGTCCCCTTGCTGTGGGTCTTGGCCCACCACATAGAGGGGACCAGGCGATATTACAATATCAACAGATCTGAACCCAACTTTTACCAAAGCATCTGAAGAGTTCTTTGGTTGGTTGGTTGATTGCTTTTTTTTTTTAGAGAGAGACTTGCAGTCTTTGCTGAAAAAAACACAGTGATGCTAAGGGTTTATTGAATGTCTGGATCTGTATTTTCCAAGCTTGAAACGTTGCTAGTCCTGCTAACAGGAAAAAAAACCCAAACACACACCCACAGATATTCATAGGCTTTCTGAGCTGGCAGAGGTAATATGGGTCATAGATAATGACATATTTAGAAATAAATTACGTGAGTAAGTAATAATTCAGTAAATGTAAACCCTAAATGCATTCCTATTTGCATGAAGAAAGCAACTGCCTGGCCTAATGGTTGGCTGGCTGTAGTAACAGTAGTTATGTTTTTTGCTAAAATAGTTACTGTCTGGGTAGAATGAGCTTTTCATGCCCTATGCAAATTAGATGTAGGATGGCACGTCGTACAGCTGTTCTGCTATGCAGAAATTGAAACAACTGCAGAGAAGCAATGAAGAGTATAGATATAAAAGTTTAAGTACAGCACTGACTATTCTTCAAACCAGAAGTTGCTTTTGCGCTGATTTCTCTCCTACCTTTCCCATCACCAATTGCATGTCACTCGGAGAAACCAAGGAAAAGGAGTCTTTGGACTAGACTTTCGATGTCAGATTTAGTGATAATGTAGTGAGGTAAAGGAGAAAGAAACAGTGACAGTCTTAGCTTAAAACCAAATAGAAATAACTGTATTATGAACAGCTTTCTATTTTATCACTCTGAGGCATAAAAAATAAAGCCCGAGTATCACAGAGTTGCTTATTAAACTGGAATGACAGCATTAAAACTTATATTGTGATAGATCTGTATGTGAGGGGAGAGGTTTAAAAAAAAAAAAAAGGCCGAGGAATGCAGTGTTTTAACTGTAAAATAAACCTGTAGCCGTGCTAGCCTTGTGCACTGTAGGCAAGTCTAAAAATATTACTTTGAGAGAGAGAAACAGCAAAAGTTTGCGTCCTGATCCAGGAAAGCATTAAATGTTGAGGGATCATTTGAATCACAGTCTTTGTTAATGTGTTGTACAGAACATCCCATGATGTGATTTTCAGATAACCACTGAAATGTATTTTCTGCAGTGGATAAAGTTGTAATAAGTGTTTCAATTGTTTTGCAGTTAACTTTCTTCAGCAGTCTGAAAAAAATGAGAACAGTAAATGAGAAGCTGATGGCTGAAATCTCAAGTCAACCAAATGATATGGATGTGAGTTACAGATGCTGGATATTTTACGTATATATGTCTCGGTCTCCTTTCTAGTGATTGATAGGTTAATCACAGCATGGAGCACACTGGTGCTTCTTGTGGCATAAATGTGCTCTGAGCTTACTTTGAGAGTGACTCCCTGTAGGCATTGCTACTGCATTTTCATCTGTTTTTATGTTCTCATGCTTCTAGATGTTGCTGAACAACGATGCAGAGATAATTGCACTGGAATTTGGAGAAATTTTCAAAACTCTGGAAACGAAGAAACGTCATTTGCTAGAAGATGTTGAAAATCAAAGAAGTAAAAAAGAGAAAGAATTTCAGATTTGGAAAAAAATGAAGGAAACTCACAGGAAGACTATTGAGAATTTTTTGAAGGATTGTGAAAAGCTTGTCCATGAGTGTGATCCTCAGCGTTTCCTGGAGGTGATGGCCTTTTAGTTACTGTTTGGTATCAGTCATATAATGAACTTCAAATGTCATATAGAGCACACTATTGTACATTATGATTATGATAATGACTGGATCAGGAAAAACAAATTCAACAAATGAAAATTATTTAACACTTAAACTAAAATTATTTAATGCTTCATACTTTTTAATAATATTGCTTTTTCATTTTAGATGAGTTTGAAAAGCTTTCTTTGCAGCTTATTAATGAATTCAGTAGACACTTATTTTCTTCAGTGAAAACTAATGAAATTAATATTGTCTGTATAACTGTTGCTGTAACATTTGCTATATTACGCTACCAGCTGTGATAGTAAGCTGCCTTGCTGCCTGGTAGGGAGTTATTTACTAGCACAACCTTCAAAATTGTCTCACATAGTTTTGCTTTTTTGTATTTATTTTCAAATATGTTATGTACTAAGCACAGTCCATTTCACTTTTTAACTTGTAAGACATGAAAAATGCTTTTTGGGAAAGATTGGAGCCAAAACTGATCTGTGCTGTAAAGTGGAGTACAGTGTTGGGATACCCACACTATGGTGTTTATACTGATTTTAAAACCTGCTGTAAACTTTGTACTGATATGCGCATTGGAGATAAATCAGCCTATTCAAAGCTAGCTTAGGTACTTCTGACGTACACTGTACTACAGAGTATATGCACTTCTGTATCCAAGACTCTGAAAGCCTTCCTTGAAGTGTTTAAGTTAACTGTAGAGAAAAGCACAGCTTCTGATTTTAGAGAGAAATGCTAGAGGAACCCAAGACACAAACTTAATCTCCACTGTTACCTAAGCTAGCGTAGACCTTTTCAACTCATTTAAGTCAAACACCATAGCTGCAGTTTTACGGAGTTTAAGCAGATGGAAGATATGGGGCAATGTACTTACATATCTACTGAATTTTTTGTGTTCTCTACCTTCAAGGCTTATGCCTTCCTAAGAAACCACAGCCTGTTGCTGTTTTCTGCAATGGGTCTTTTTGCTACCTTCAGATAAATGAGAAGCTAAGGTAGTACTTAGAGTTTGAGTAAGTTTCTGGTAACAACTTGTTAAGAAACATTTCACTTATACCCGAAGTAAAAGAGACTCCCGCTTTTGGAAGAAATATTCTGACTCCAGTGATTAATATGTTTTAAACGTTGCACCTTCTTGCCTGCCCCCCTCCCTGACACTACGCAGCTCATTTCGGTGAAGAGGATTGTTGAGATTCAGTACAGTGAAATTACCCAGTTTTTATAGGAAAGCAACTAGTCTATAATCCAGTTACGTTTTTTTCCTTTCCATTACTCATTCTTTGGGAAGTGTCACTTGACTACAGTGCAGTGCACTTCATACTGCCACTATCTGGCTGATTTAAAATTAAAAAACAGCTTTATTTTAATCTCAGTGTAATAGCATCTTGAGAGCAGGTAGCAGAGGCTTCCCTTGCCAAGAAATACGAAATAGTCTTTCATTTGAATGTTTACAAATATCTGAACATCTGAAATGGATTAGATAACTATATGGGTCATGATTCATTATTTGAATGCCTTCATTTGGCTTTGAAGGAGTTTTTGTCTTTTACACAAAATATGACAAGAGAAAGCATTGCCCCAGATACATGTTTTTACTTTTTACATTTGGATGCTTTTTTTTTTCCTTTGAGCATTAACAGGTATATTTCCTATAGTTCTGTGAAGTGAAGACAGGGACTTCAGTCTCTGAAGTATTTTGCTAAAACAATAACTTCTTTTTGAGAATTGGAGGAAAACTCATTCATCTCTTACAAATTTTTGTTTTTCTATAGGTGGCCTGTGGCTTGAATACAAGGTATGCATTTTTTTATGCTTTAAAAGTTAGTTTTCTAGTGTAATTTTAAGATTAAAAACTAAGAAAATAGTTATTTGGATATGGTGAGGTATAGCAACTTAAAATAGTGTAGTAATTAAGACATTAATTACTCTCTGGTTTCTGGGTGCTCCATATTCCAAATTTTAGGAAATGTGTCAAGAATTTTAGTGATCTACTATCTGGGATTAGAGATAATCTACCTTTTGAATTGGCTCCCTGGCGAAAACTTGAGTAATTGGATATTTGTAGGTTTCTTCTTTAAACATGGGAACCTGAAGCATGCATGAAGCTTTTACAAAAATCTTTAAGTCTAAGAGCATTTATGGAGATTCTGCAGTGTCTTTTGTTTGCAGTGCATGTACTTTGTGTATTTCTCCCTAAAGATTCTTAATTACATTTCTTACCACTTCTTAAGCAGAGTTTAAGAAAGAATATTAGAAATGGAGTTTTTTATAATATGCTGTGTTTTAGACTAGCATTAGACAGATGAAAGATTATAATTTAGATTCAGGTATAGTGCATTAAGAAAAGTGGGAGTTTTTAGTCTTTGTTGAACTACGGGCACTAATTCTTGCAATTTTTGTTGTGTATGAAACTTCATGCAAGTCAATCACCAAGTAGAAAGTTTGAAGAAAAAAATCTATGGAACTTGGTACTATTGAAGACTTAGTTTTTCTGATTTCTTCCTCTTAGTGATTTCTTTTTTTTTTTTTTATTGTATTACACAGGTGTAATTTAGTTGTTGGCCTGTGAGCCGTAAGAAAAGTGTTTTAAGTTTGTTTGTTTGTTTTTAACTTTTCCAGAATGAAAACTCAACTTGACCTGATGAATATAGCATCCAGCTATGAAAAACCACCAGAGTATACTCAAAAGAAGCTGGATATCAAACCTGTAGTTAATGAAATCTTGGCTTTGAAGTTATTGCCCATTAATGTAGGCGTTTCTAAAGGTAGGGAAGAAGGACTTAATATAGCACAAGATTTGGGAAGTCACTCTAGGAACCTGCAACTCATGGACCTAATTGCTGATAAACAATCTACATGGCAAAAGTATGCAAGTGTTCAGAAAGTATCTGAGCAAATTAATGGATGACAAATTAATCAAGGGCTTTTAAACGCTTCTTATGAATGTGGTTTGTCTAGAAAGTGTCTAGGCTGTATTTTTGCAAGCTGGGGGGAACTATCATTATCATTTTCCTATACAGCCAGTATTGCCTCCAGCAGAAGTGTGTTGCTGAACTAGATGATAATTCGTGGTAGTGTAATACTAACATTAACTGTGCTCTGTTTAAATGCTTTTGTCTCATAGGAGAAAATGGTAGGTTTTGTATGAAGGCAGGCATTTCCAGGCACTTAGAAAAGTACTTGTGTGGGCTTCTTGCTTTAGATCACAGAAGTCTCGACAAGTACTAGGGTCTCACTTAGGGCAATATACTTTTGTTCTTCGTTGGAATCTGTGTTTTGATGAGCAGAAACTTTTCGGTATTTTCCATACTTAATATGCTCTCCATCAGTATTCTTGTATTTTTTCTAATAGATCTACCTTCTGGAGGAAGTGAGAACTCAACTAAAAATACCATGTTTAAAAATAAGGTAAAGCAGTGGCAGGACTGGAAAAATACACCAAACATATTTCTTGTAAGTTACTGACTGTGGGGCTACAACACTGTACTGTTTTGTTTGGTTTGTCTTATCAAAATGAACTATAATGTCTGCTGCAAAACGTTTTTCAGCCTGTAGTGGGACAGGAGGAAGCACTAGCAGATGGTAGCCGGATCTGTACTCGCTTCATGTCAATATCAGAAATGTCAGCGTTTCAAAACATGAGTCACGAGGTACGATTGAACATCTGTTGTAAGTATGGCGAAGTTACTATTTGTTGTGTCACAACTTTCTAAACAAGCTTTCATAATCTTTTCCAGTTTTCTTAGTAAAAAGGTATCCTTCCAAGTCTAGAATGTAAATCTGACTAGGTTATTAGAGCTGTCAGGATTTTACTTTTTCATTTTTCTTGAGAGAGCTGTAAGTTAATCTTACTACTGACTTCAAATATTTTTATATTTTAGTGTGGCTTTTTGAGTCACATCTGTAGCTTTCTAATCAAAATAAGGTTCTCTACCGCGTAATTGAATAGGAAGTCATCTGCCTGCATTCTGTTTTCTGGAGATAATAGAATTCACTCTTCTAAGACTACCTACATTTCTGATAATTTGACATAAAACTATATCCAGTCTCTCTTTTTTTTTTTCCATTTCAAATGATCTAGTTATACAACTAGATTTATTTTTTTTTTTACAAACTAGCAGTTCCACATGAGTGGCTGAGTGAGTATTCTGTACAGAATGATTCTATTTACGGTTAGTGAAGCATGGCTGGCAGTGAATCATATAATTTGTTTGGAAAATACCAATGGCAGATGATTCAATGAAAATGTTGCTTAGATCCTTGAAATACAGAATTATTTTCCTTTCACTGTAATATTCTGGAGAACATCTGTTTTCTATTCCTATTGAGAATACAATGTATATAATTATTGTATCTAGGAAAAAAACCCCACCCAAACAAAAAGCCCACCACCTAAATTAGTTTCAGATGGTTATTTTTCATGACAATTTGAGAATTTATCACTTAATGTCTAAGCTAGTATTTTTAGCTATTTCTAGTTTTGGCAGTGGCTTTAAATAGTTTTCTATAGTCTCCTATTTCAAAACCTACTTTGTCATCAGGGTTCCATGTGTACCTTGTACATTTGCTTTTAAAAAACTTTTTTCCATAATGACTTGTGTTCTGTTGCCTTCTAACAGTAATGGAAAAATATGTAAGTGCTACAGAATATACAAAACCTTTTCTTCAGTCTTAGTGAGTTTTATAACCTGAATCCATAAATGCTGTTTTACTTAACGGGATTCTTTACTGTAATTGTAGGAGTTGCGCTACAAATACTATATGGAACGTCAGAAGCTCACCAGTGAGTTCAAGACACAAACCTTACCTGCAAATAGAAAATATAAATTTTTACCTGCTGAGGCTTTGAAGGACAGGTCCTCAGGAACTCCTTTTGTATCTTCACCTACCAAAGCAAGTAACACAGATGAAGTAAAAGTGGGAACGTTGCAAAGAGCAGATGGCTTTGAGAGAAGCTTTTCTAGAACCAGTAATCACAGCATCCCATGCACAAATATGAAGTTTCCTGAAACAAATGGTGACTTAAAATTATTTAGTGAGAGAAGTTCCCAGGAAGTAACCACTCCAACTTTATCAGAAAACTCTAAGAATTTAGTAATTAAAGAAAAAATGCTAATGCAGGCATCAGCAGTCACCGTTTCCAAAGAAACGGACACAATTTCTAGCACTTCATCTGACTTAAAACCTGCAGCATCAGTAGCTGTTACTGTTTCAAATTCAGAATTTCTGGATGTTTCTGCAGAAAGACTTTGTGCTTCACCTTTTGCTTTCAGTGCATGTAACAACTCGTTACCTAAATTTATTAAAGATGCAGGTACATTTTCCTTTAAAAAGAAAGACAAGAAATACGTTTTCCCTCAATTTTATCTAGGAAAATGTGATCGTGTGGATAAAACCAATAGCCAGGATGAAAGCACATTTAGAAAACATGGTCCTGTAACCAAAGCAGCAGTTTCTGATGCTTCAACCAGTCCTAATTTAGACTCGTCAGAATGTGAGAAGCCAGCTTTTTCATTTCCATTTGACAATTCAGAAAGAGATTGTTTTCCAGGATTGGGAGTCAGCAATTCATTTCAAGTTTTACCATTATCCTCATTTTTTAGCCAATCTGAGAAGCCATCTGACAAAAATACATCATCTCATCTGAGAAAAAAAACACTTTCTGCAAAGGAAACCACAGATTGTGGTACACAGAAAACATCTGTCTCATGGGAGCAAAAAGCTAATGCCTCAGAATCCATCACAACTGTAACTTGTAGTACTTCAGAAACCGACACTGCGGCTGGGGTGAATGATGTCTCAGAGTCCCTCCTTCACCCCAGTAATTGTGTATTTTCCTTCAAAAGCAACTGTTTTCTGTTTCCTTCACCACTATTTTCATTTGGAAGTACTGTCAGAAATACTTCTGATTCACTAACTTCTTCTGTGTTTTGGTCTGGAAATGGTACTGAAAAAACAGAAAAAGAGAAGATGAACTCTCCTGCCAAAACACCTCTGAATCTGGGGAAGCCTGTATCTTCAGAATGTGCAGAGCCTGCTTCTGGACATAGTTATCCAGAATGTGAAGGTTCATTCTTTCCTATGAACTCATCTAAGAAAAGTGAAAGTGCAGCAATGCTTGCTGATAGTAATTCTTCTTGTGGCCAGCCTTCATGTTCAGTTGTCCCTCCTGTTAAATACGACAACACATCTTCCACTCAGCTTACTATTACTGCAACAAAACAAGAAACAAGGGTAAAAGAAGAAGAAAGTGAAACTGTTGATGAAAACAACTGCTCCTCCCCTAGGAGGGAAGGTGAACCTGAGTCTGTACAGCTGCAGAATGCAGCTTGTTCTGTTCCTGGCACATGCAATGATCCATCTTTAGGAGGTTCTGCGCTCACAGTAAATGACGCAGGAGGAATGCCAGGTGACAGCGAGTCTGACACTGAAGAGCTAAGTCAAACATCCATCTCTACTGACACCAGCAGTGCATCAGAATGCTTTTCTGTTGCTGAAGACAAAATATCTATTGGAAGAAAATCTGAGAAATGAAGAGAAAGTGAAATGAAAGTATATGCTACCTAACACTTTAAAAGTGGGGATACCTGTGGTTTTACAGCTGTTATCTCCCTGATTTTTGCTAACTGAAGTGTCTCTGTGTTAGAAATATAAGTGCTTATCAGCGAGTACAATGTACTAAAGTGATTTTTATAGTGCAAACACAAACTGAAGAAACAACCAAAAATGTCATGTCAAGTATGATCATATATGCTGTATCTTTAAAAATGCAGACCTTCCGGGAAGGTGCTGGTGGGGTTGTGGGTGGTGGGTGACTGAGGTGTCCCAGAACACAGGTTCAGTGAAGCCTTAGCAATAGGAAGCAGTGTATTGCTTTTTCAGTACAGCAGCACTTGCACTGGGATTAAATCAGTAAGAAGGTACAGACAACAGCCTGTAACCCATAGGCAGGGTGGGAGGAGAGCCATGGGGAGAATAAAGGATGTTGAAGGGCATTATTGAAAACTGTTTTTCTGTGTCTCCCTTTGGCTGTTTTGGGTGGGTTTTTTTCCTATAGTCTAATTTCAGTAATTTATCTTATGCTTTTGAAATTGAAACATCACATCAATGTTCTTGTTACATGTTGCAGAAGGGTGTCAGCTACGCTTCTGAAATACTGTCTTTATGAAAAGTAACCATCACAATTAATTTTCAGTTCCTTTTCACACCAGTTTGGGAATCAGTGGACAGGTACTAACTTGCTGTTTTGATGAAAGCATTAGGAGAATCTGTCTTTTAAAACACAAAAATCTCCTTGTAAAGTTTGTGCAAAAACAGGAAAAAAAGGAAAAGAGCAATTCTCACTGTGGGTATTAATGATCCAGAACTCCCTGGATATTTAGTCTGTGAAATATGATACAAAGTCAGGATAAAAATACCATCTTTTCTAATTTATTAATAATTTTGTTGCATCCAAGAGATAATTGTGCTTTAGCTATTAGAATATGCAGATGGTAGCACTACCTCTGATTAAAGCTCTATTTCATGCAGTGCTCACTCTCCAGCAAGAGCTATTTTCAGATTTTAAATAAATTAATCCTACATTATGTAGGTATGTCAACTGGCAAGTGTTGGATCAGAATGTTTAGTATCCCTTCAGAATTTTTGCCTGACAACTAGATAGTTAACTTTTTGTTTATTTATTTCTAAAGTATCTTTGTAAGAAAAAAATATAACTTTTAAATTTAAATCTCTGCAAGGCTTACCAATGTACTTACTGTTACAGAATACTTAAAAATACTATTCTTGATTTGATTGACCTAATTTTAATTTGATTTGTGTTAAATTTTTTGCCTTGATTTTTCTGTGACAAAAAAATTAAATGTGCTGAAAATAGTTTCTAGAACTTATAAAACTTACTAATCTTACCTTTGCATCTACATTACAGTAAGGAGGATGGTGAAAATTCTCTTTATTGTTAATTTTATAGTTCTTTGTTTTTCTCTGAAGTCTGTATTTCAGTTTTCTCCTAAGAATTGTTCTGCTTTTATGTCTAGACATTCTTGTGATGTTCTTCTGCATGTGTAGGAGAGAAGTCTTTAAAAGGTAAAGAAGGGTAAAAAAGCATAAAGACAAAGGCTGACCATGATGATAATGGTGAAGAGTGTCATGGATTGAGGTTGGCCTCACTGTAATGCAAATGAGCAAAGTAGAACAGTTTTAGAGATGCAGTTAAGGCATCTATAAAACTTGTTGCCAGAAGGTTGTAGAAAATGTTTTTCTGCTACAGTGAAAAAAAAATGTAGTGAGTTAGTTGTAGTCAGAAACATTATTGAGTTTCTTGAAATTGCTTATTTTCAATATATCTTCTGTTCACTTGAGAGTTTGATAAACTTTAAAGCAGATACTTTGTCTTTTAGTGAAAAGACACTGTTATAAAATAAAGCAAATAGATACACTATTTTCAAAAGCAGAAATTGTTGGCGTGTGGGTTCAATACAGTCCTAGGACTGCTTTTCAAGCATGGCAAGTTGTTGAAGTGCATTGTAGCTCAGCATTAAAGTTTTACGGGGAATATAAATGATAAGCAGGATGTTTTATTTGCAATAGGTCACAGTAAAATTACAGTCCACCCAGATATTAAATCAATAGAGTTATCAGTTTTTCTGATATTTTCACAAGCTGTTTCCTGGGTCATTTTGACTTAATTAATTGGTCATATCTCACTATTGACTCCTTACTAAAAGCCATAACAGGAGTGAGGTGCTTTTTATATATGTTATTAAAAGTGAAATGTCAACTGCTGTTGTTAATGCTTTAAGACCTACTACAGACTTCAGCATATAAAATTAGTATCCCATGACAGACTTAGTAAGTTTGTCTTTCACTCAGGATTTCATGATTGCTTGTCACATAACTGAAAACACAATAGGACCAATTTCTGACTTTATTCCTTGGTCAATTAATTGTGTCATAGATAAAAAGATTACTCTGTTTATATCTGGAAACATGGACACAGAAAGGTCTAAATAAAGTAACTTCCTTAGGTAGTGACCTACCCTAGTTGAGGACCAGTTGTGTAAGATTTATCTGTATGTGGCATGACTTGCCAGACAGAATAATTAGATTAAATTTTATTGTCCAAGCAGAGTTAAAGCAGCCTGCTACTACTGTCTTCCCTTTCTGTCATAACTTTGTTCCACACATTAAAAAACTGGAAAGAAGAGTTTAAGTCAGTTGATGGTAGCACAGCAGCGCTGCCTGACTACGTATACAGGGTTTCCCCCCAGTTATTTCCTTGCAACATGTTGCATGTAGTTTAATGCTGACTAAAGAGAATTCAAATCAAAGACTTCATCAGTGATCATTTGATAAACACCAGAGCTAATTCGAAGAAATAGGATTCTGAATTGTCTTTAGTGCACATTTTGCTCACTGAGAATAACTTCCATCACTGGTCGTCATTATAAAATTGTGTGTGGCCATGAGGACTGTTGTCGAAGCCTAATTTTCCTAGGTTACCTAAACAGTGTGTGTGTGTATATTTTTTTCAGACTACGAGTAGACTAAAATGTAGTGTTAAACTGAAAATTTTCAGTAATAGTATAGAAATGCTGCTGAAAACATTGCTCTTTCTAGCAAAAATCCAAGAAAATAGTTAGGAAACTTATTTTACTAAACTCAGTAATTTGTATTTCAAGAGACTTTTTGAGAGGTATGTTAGAGGTGTCCTGGATCTTTCTGACCCTTGAGGATACAAGAGGTGAAAAATGAAGCAATTCTACATATGCTTGGAACATTTTATTAATCAGACTTTATTGTACATTGTATAAAACCCTCTTTATACTTAAAATTTTGTAACCTAAAATTGCAGACCTGTTTAAAAGCTGTTATAATGGTTCATGAACATAATACTTTATAACTTAATAGAAACCTTGGAAAATAATTAGAACAACTTATTCTGTAATTGCTAAAGTAATCGCTGAACATTCTTCATAAACAGGCTGAAAGTTTCTAGTGCTGTCCTACTGAGAGGCCGATCTCACCAGCTGTCAGAACTGTTGACATTTGCTCAATTTATTAGAAACAGTTATGTAGTTGACATTGGAGCTGCTAAAATGTCAGTGTGTAAGGGTTAGTTTTCTAAAGTAAACTTTGTATTACTAATATTGTATATCTTTATTATGAAATGTATTTAACTGAGGACTAGTCACTTCCTAACTTAAAAGACAGATACTCTTTAATCTTCTGTGGTAAGAGTATTATGTACTGCTGCTTTTTTTCCACTTTTTTCTTCATGTAATACTCTTCAGCTTCTCTTCGTAGGCTTCACCCAGTTGTTGAAATGCCAGGAGAACGTTGTCATTTGGATCATCACACAGTTCACTCAGTGATGTTCTGTTTTTTAAAAAACAAACAAAAAACAACAATAAAAAAGCATTAGTTCATTTTAAGTTGCTCTAGAAATGAAATATATATTGTATATTAAAAAGCGTGAGTTTATCATACCCAATAGACTTAATGAGGAGTGAAAAATCCTTGAGTGCATAGTAAGCATCTCCTTCATTTAACCTAAAGAAAGATAAAAAAATTTAGATGGATATGCACTATAACATACTGTTTCACCTTTAATAATACCTGCTGTGTAGATTGGGTAAGGATGTAGAGAACATATTCCATGGCCTTAAACACTGACATACTATTCCATCAGGATTACTGTGGAGTAATTATAAGCTTAAACTAATTAATAATGCAATAGAGACATGTTTCTATCATTGCACTAAACATAGACTCATGAGCCATATTTGGAAAGATAGCTTATTAATATTATCTTGGGAACATGATTTCAACTGTTTGAATAACCTATTGTAAGCTAAACTGGAATGCTATACTTTAGATGAATCTGCTGGCTAAAGTGAGCAGGAGATAGGGTCTTCATCATCTGTAGAAAGCTTGCACTGTGTTTTACAAAAGGGGTCATTGATTATGAAAAGT